TTCGATATCCTTGGCCGCAAAGATCTTCCCGAATTACTTTATCTTTTCGCTGTTGGACTTTTTCCGCTCATGGAGCACTGCGGAATAAAGGTAAATGAGATAGATTAGCCGAATCATACAGTAACTGCTTCCATGGATTTGCCCGTGTTCTGTTGCTTTTAGTGGATTTTTGAGGCTCTTTTCCTTTTAAAAATACGTAATTATCGTCGGGCGACTCGTGCTGAGCTGATGCAAATGATCCCTGGCGATTATTCGACTGCTGGCATCAATTGGCGATCACTACAATGGAACAACGGTTTATATACGTTCACAGGATCCGGTCCTTTCCCTCCCATCCTTTCTCCCAAAATGCTACAAACTGAGGATCGAAAATAAAGTTTTTTTTTTTGTGAATTCTCTCTAACTTGGTCAAGCTAGGCTAGACATGCAAAAATTCCACATAAATACCATGTTTCAGGTGAAGTCGGAGTTGCTGAATATATTCGAGCAGTATCTTCTGCCTTTGGGTGTCGAATTGAAGCCGGCACTTCCAGGATTCATTACAGGCGTTTTGCTGGGCCTCGAAGAAGGAACCGAATTTTTCGATCGGTTTGTTGTTCTGCTGTTAAATTTTAAGCAAATATTTATTGATTCCACCTGCATTTTTCCCATTTTTTAAAATCAGTTTTATTGTTTCCCCCATTTCAGGTCTTTTTCTCTGCTAGATCGAGTGCAGGAAAGTGTCGGCTCGGAAGCATTCTTCGGATGCCTTTGGGAAGCAGTACTTGGATCACCGTCTGTTCGGCTTCCGGCACTAATGTATGTTAATGCGAAGTTTAATCGTCGGAAAAGTATGCACGATCAGGAGTATATTATGGGCAGTGATATCGATCATATGGTACTCGCTTTATTGTTTTTCCAGTAATTTTCTTGAACGAAATAATCTTGAAATTTAAGTTGATAGAATTTAAGTTCATGCTAGGAATACCAGTACCATCCAAGCAGTAGCCTTGATTATTCACTATAAATAATGTTACCGAGGTGCTTTCATAGCTTAGAAGTAACCAATCCTTTCCTCGCTCCTGAGCCAAATACTTCTAGTTTGTACCTTTTCGGCCACATTCGGTACATTTTAGAATCGCCTTCACAAACACCACACACTAATACGCTGTCTTTAAGCGAACAGCATGTCCTGCACATCAAATTT